GTATCAGTTGAAATCGTCCGCTTTGTCATCGTAGTCCTCGTCTCCATCCTCATATTCCTCGCCATCTCAAGCAACAGCTAGATTTGCTCGCCTATCAATGTCCTCGTCTCCATCCTCATAATCCTCGCCATTTTGAGCAACAGCTAGATTTGCCCGCCTATAAATGAGGGATTCGACCTAAGACTAATCATCCTCGCTTTGCTGCCCTTACTCCTCCTCTCCATTCTCCTCGTACGCTTCCTCTTCGTTCCCCATTCCTCTCTCTCCCTATGTATATATATATATCTATCCCTTGCTATTGCTCGCCCTCTTCACTACAAGCGATGATCCATGGCGCGCATAATGCTGGTGGAAGACAAGTCTGGACTGCAACACACAATGTCCTCGGCACGCCCCGACTAACCCGATCCTCCAGGAGGAAGCTGGCGATCCGTCTGTTTACGCCAGCCCCCGCCGGGCCAGTCCTGGGCCCAGGATTGGTCCAGCTGAGATCGCTGCAACTGGACAGTTGACGTCCCGCGATATCTAGAGGCCTCCTAGATTAGGTCCGAGTAGATGGGGTCGAAGGATCCCGCCGCATCTCCAATGCATCGGCGAAGTCGGCGGGGCATAGGCGCCATCGGCGTGGAGAAAATTGGGCCCCACATCGAGCCGCATCGCCGAGGCATCGCCGAGGCATCGTGGATGTGGCACGATCCTTAGACCCCATCTACTCGGACCCCGTTGGATCCTCCTCCTCCTCCCCCCCCCCTCCAACCGCCCCCTGGACGAGGACGAGGAGGAGGAGCAGGAGGAGGAGGGGGATAAGGACGACGACGAGGACAAGGAGGAGGATAAGGAGGAGGATGAGGACGAGGATGAAGATGAGGATGAGGAGGATGAAGAGGAGGAGGAAGAAACGCGTGCAGCTCCCCCCTGGACACCCGCCGGGCCCCAGGAGGCGGCGCCACAGCTAAGCTCCCAGCATGCTCAGGCCTGATGATGAGCACGCCGAGCAGCTTTCCGTGCGCACCTGCGCCAGCGCTGGGCCTGAAACGAAATGCCTGGGAGCACCTCAGCAACTTCCTGAAACTGAATGCCTGGCAGTACCTTAGCAACCTCCTTGGTACCTGGCCGCCGCAGCTCTGAGCGCACCCCGCCATCGGGCAGACACAGTGGCGTACCTGTCATCAGGCAGACGCCTGTGGCGTACAGTCGGGGCCAGTCATGAAGGCGCAAGGTCAAGATGCAAGGCCCCCGGGCGTCCCAGTGGCAACCACGGGCAAGCGGCATGGGCGGGCTGGCCGTTGCCGACAAAATATATCAGGGCGGCAGAAGACGGTAACACACACATGTATATACATGTATATATATACAGATATATATATATATATATATATATATATATATATGTATAACATACACACACATATATATATATGTGTGTGTGTGTGTTTTTTCTCCCCCCGCCGAGCGCCGTTAGAAAGTGGTAACAAATAGATGCAACCCGTACAAGAAATGTCCGATCGAGCGCCACCTACGGGGAACCCTGCGGGAGACCACACGGGAGATCGCACGGAAGACAGTACGGAAGACCGTTGCGGGCGGGCGCGGATGCCGCTCCGCGCGCATGCGGGAAGCGCCCTGCTGCGCAAAGCGGCGGTGGTGGCCGGCGCCCCTCGCAGGGACGTGCGGAAGACCCGGGAAGACCCGTGGGGGAAGCCGTACAGGAGACCAGACGGAAGACCACACGTGAGACCACGGGCCCCGAGCCGCCGCTTCTGGATCTGGAGGAACTCACACGTGCCTTGAAGGTGTGTATACATATATATATATATATATATACAAGGCTGCAGTGGCGCTTCGCGCCATGCACCTTGGTCCTTGAAGATTGGTATGCAGGCGGATATGGCAGGAAGGTCAAGCGGACAATTTTGCGATAACTCCTTGCTGCCTTTTCTGGCATCGCCATTATAATGATGTTGTTCGTTATCCTTCCTCCATGCTTGCTGTCCCTCATTCTCGCCATACCCTGGGCATTCTCCTCATCCTCCTCAGCTCTTTTGTGGAGGCTCCTCCTTGGAGAGCCTCTGGGGGCCTCACCAAAGTTCTCAGGCTTTCTTAAGGCCTTCTGGAGGCCTCCTGGGCGTGTTCTGGGGGCCTCTGGGGCTTCCTAAGGCCAACCTGCCTCTAACCGCGGTCTCCCTGAACGCCCTGGTCACGATTTGGAATGCTTCGGAGGGTGTCTTGGGGCCATGTTGGGCCGCCATGGGGCTCTCTTAGGGCCATTTTGGACCCCTGTTGAGCCGTTTTGGGGCTCTCCTGGACTGCCTCGAAACCCTTTCGGATGGTTGTGGGACGATTTGGGAGCCTCCCAGGCGACTTCGGACGCCCAGAAGACCGCTGTCTTGGAGCGTCGGGAAGCCGAAAAGAGGAGAACCCCAAATTCACCAAAAACCTACATCGAATCAATGATTTTTCCTTCTTGGGGCCTTCTTGGGGGTGCTCTTGGAGGCCTCTTGGTACGTTTTGGAGCGATCTTTCGGGGTATGACGGCTTCTTGGAGCGCTCTTGTGCTGTCTTGGGGTTCTCTGGGACGTCTCCGATGACCCCCCTGATCGCCCTAGGTGTGCTGCGAAGGCTTGGCAAAACGCCCTGCGAGGCCCTGGGGGCCGCTTCGAGGCCCGTCCGAAGGGTCCCAAAGCCCCAGATCCCGGGAGTCCAGTTTTTGGGGGGGGTGACGGGTTTTCCCTCCGCCCGGGCTTGTAAAAATATAGGAAGAAGAAGATGCATTTAGGACACTTGCTGAGAAGCTGCTGGGGAAAAAGACAAGGATGCAACATATCATTGGCAGAGCAACTCATCATGGGGGGCCCCAACTGTACCTGTCGGTCGGGCGATACCCGTTGTCGGGAGTACCTGTCATCGGACGTACCTGTCAGGGCAACAAGTGCATGGAGAAGAAGGTAGAGCTGCTTCACGGCCCTCGGATTCCCTGGCCGGACTAGCGCAGCGTACTGAACGTCACGAACTCGACGAAACAGCAAGGATCCGTCCTCTCGGAAAGGATCGGGGCCAGGAGTGGCGCTCGCGCCCGCGCAGGGGGGGGCGTAGGAAGCAGGCTCGGCCTCGAGAGGCACTCCGAGATCGAGGATCGCCTCGAGGCCTCCCTGGGTACCTCTGAAGCCTACTGTGGTCGCGGGTGTCGCACTCAAGCGGGTCGTGCTCGGGGGTGTGCCGCCTCATGCTCTGCATCGCCTCTCACCCGAGCCCATTCGACACTCGGCCCGCGAGTCCGTGCCTCGGTGAGGCGGCCCCCGAGGCACACCACTGCAGGGGGGGGTGCACTAGCGAATCCAGCTGTGGCGACGAGGTTGCGACAGAATCGGCGCGATTCTGCCGCACGTCTTACTCTCCAGTGAAGAACATTCACCCAATATTGACATTTTCTGTTTTCTGATTGCTGCAATGGTAAACAAAGGAACCAACTCTCGTGTGGAAGCCGCAGGGGCGCTTGAATACCACCCAGCCGAATTGCAACCATACACGGCCGAGCAAAGAGTTGCAACAGAAGCCCGCCGACCCTGTCGGCGTGCGTGAGGGCTTTTCCACCGAAGCTTTGGAAGCTCAAAACGGCCCACATGGCCCCCGAGACTGGCCCGAAAGACCCGAAAAAACCCGATGACGGCCCCAAGAAGGGCCTAAAAAGCGCGCCGCCGACGTCCTCCGGAACACAACGAGACGCCCGCGGTGAGCTCTAGAAGTGCTCGGTGATGCTCCCTAAACTTACGTTTAGAGACGGGTGTCACTTCATGCCCAAGTCGTGTTCACAAAGCGCGTCACCGCCGCATCGCTGGCCGCCTTCCAACCTTCGAAAAACCAAGGAGACGCTCGAGACGCTAGCGGTGCGCTCTGCAAGTGGTTGGTGATTCTCCCTACCATCAAGGTTAGAGACGGCTGTTACTGCACACCCAGTTCGTCGTCGCACGTATGCTGTCTACGGGTCTCGTGCGTGACCCGCCAGGAAGTACCCCCAAAGTGACGAGACTCGCTTGGTGAAAAGGGCCACCAGTCGTGGCCCCCGATGGGCGCATAGCTCCGTGACAGTCAATACATTAACTGGTCGCGCATACGCCAAATGGTCACGCTCTACGATGTGGCATGGCGTTCTGGAGGATAAGTATAGTGCATGCATGCTAGCTATGTCGTGTTGCGACGCGCCGAAATACACCAGTACAGGTTCGCAGCAGGCGACCATGATGTATGATAATGCTGTGCTATGATGTGCTATGCTACGGCACGGCACTACGCGCTGCACTGGTAGGCAGTGTAAATGATGTCAGTATACCTACTCTGCTGCGCTGTGATGTGGTATGACGTGCTGCACGACGAAACGATATGTCAAGCTACGACATGCTGTAATCTACAAACAAATCCACCATGGGATGTAGTGCCATGTTGTGATATAAAACAGTATGCTGTGTAATGCTGCGCTATGCGATAATAGTATTTACTATGCAAGGTATGTAGTGGTGTGCTGTGCTGCGCCGCGCGTTGCTCTGTTACGTGTTGGTCGAATATGTTGCCAAATGAATTGACCTGGCCTGGAAACGATATGATGTGCTCTGATGCTCCGTGTTACAGAATGCTATACTAACAACGTGTTGTTACCATATGGTGTGCAATTCTCTGACATGAAAATGCCTCCCCCACCATACAGTGGCACGCAGTTAGGTGTGCGAGGGCCCCATTAGTCCTCTGCATTGGGAAGAAGAAATTGTAAAAAAGTGTAGTTGAGTGCTCACAGCCCCAAGCTCAGGGTCGGGCGCTCTCGGGGGGGTCCCCGCATTGCCTTTCCAGAGGTTCGCCTTCCGTGGCCCCAGAAGAAAGACAGCAGGACATTGGATAATCGATTCGCACTGATAGCTAACAGTGCGTGTGTGGAAAGGTCGGCCCGGGCATGGGCAGGCACACGGAGGCGGGGAATGGTTAGCCCTGACAGCGCACCGCAGCCCTCTTTCATGTCCTCCTGCACGTCGTCGTAGTCGTCCTTCGCGGTCTTGTCGTCCACCTTGCACAGATGCAAAGATCAGGCAGATGGGACGTCACTCCGCTGCGGCACCGATTGGATGCTTTGCTCTCCGACCAGACAGACCACGACATCCAAGCCGTGCACGGAGTTGCATCTCACATTAACGCACGTACACCCCAACTCCAACGCGCAACTGAGTTTGCGCTCTCTCCCAACATATAAACGTGAGCACGTAAGTATAGATGCATGTGTGTATGCATGCATGCATGCATGTATGTATGGATGGATGGATGCATGGATGGATGGATGGATGGATGGATGAAAAGTGGTGCCGTCCCAGCCAGAACTGTGGCCCAGACACAGGAGACGAAGCTATAAACTGTAAGACGCCACACCGGGGGAACAGAAGCTTGCGTATGGAGTACCACTTCCCTCCGCCAATTGAAACACGCTCTCTGCTCGCACGTCAGGGTGGATTCTCGGCACGACGCCTGCACACGAAAGGGACAACCTCTCCACTCCACAAGCTGGGAGAGAGCCAACGAGGCAGCATGCCAGGGCTTGGCGGCGCCCTCGGGAAAGAACATGGGACGGGCTCGTGCTGTGACGCATTGCGCGCTGGCTTTTGACAACGCGTGGACCGTTCAACCAGGAGCGAGCACTGATGGGCCAATTTTCCACCACCACTACCATAGGTAGGACGGGGGAGAAAGAAGGATGGGGAGGTCCTCCTCCTCCTCCTCCTCCTCCTCCTCCTCCTCGTCCCCCTCCTCCTGCTCCTCCTCCCTCTCCTACCTATGGTAGTGGTGGTGGGAAATCTGCCCATCAAGCACGGCGCTCCCGCAGCGCAGATCGTTCGAGGTTGGCACACACCTGGGGCCACCAGCGGCGACAAGCCTGGAACGCCCGCGCAGTGGGGTCGCAGCCGCGTCGGCGCGGCACGAACCTGCCGTACGCACGGCAGAATGATCAGCCCAGCCCCCACACGAGCCTCCCTCCTTCCTCCTCCTCCTCTCCCTCCTCCTCCTCCTCCTCCTCCTCCTCCTCCTCCTCCTCCTCCTCCTCCTCCAGCTGCTCCTCGTCCCCCTCCCCCTCCTCCTCCTCCTCCTCCTCCTCCTCCTCCTCCTCCTCCTCCTCCTCATCATCATCATCATTCATCATCATCTCATCATCTCCTCCTCCTCCTCCTCCTCCTCCTCCTCCTCCTCCCCTCTCTCCTCCTCCTCCTCTCCTCCTCCTCCTCCTCCTCCTCCTCCTCCTCCTCCTCCCTCCTCCTCCTCCTCCTCCTCCTCCTCCTCCTCCTCCTCTCCTCTCCTCCTCCTCCCTCCTCCCTCCTCCTCCTCCTCCTCCTCCTCCTCCTCCTCCTCCTCCTCCTCCTCCTCCTCCTCCTCCTCCTCCCTCCTCCTCCTCCTCCTCTCCTCCTCCTCCTCCTCCTCCTCCCTCCTCCTCCTCCCTCCTCCTCCTCCTCCTCTCCTCCTCCTCCCTCCTCCTCCTCCTCTCCTCCTCCTCCTCCCCTCCTCCTCTCCTCCTCCTTCTCCTCCTCTTCCTCCCTTCTCCTCCTCCTCCTCCGCCTCCGCCTCCTCCGCCTCCTCCTCATGTTCCTCCTCCTCCTCCTCCTAAACCTCCCCGACCTCCTCCTCCTCCTCCTGACTGCCTGCCGCCAGAATGATCAGCCCAGCCCCCACACTCCGCACACGAATGGCCTCAGGGTCATACCCGCAGTGAGATCCTTAAAGCAGCCAGCCTGAAGCAAAGGAGGCAGCAGAGAACCACGAAGCGACCCCAGGCCTCGTCGGCAGTCGCACCGTCTCCAGGCATCACCACTTCTTCTAGAGGGATAGCCGAAAGAAGCTGACTGGAAGACAGAATGTGTGCACCCCTCATAACAGACTGCATGCACCCCAGCGAGAACAAAGCAAGAGCACGCCTTCAAGATCTCATCAATCCTGGCGGCAGGCTAGCGGAAAGCCACAGGACAGGTGGGAAGGCACTAACAGCCAACAGCAACAAAAAGAAGAGCCACACTATGCTGCCCCTCAGATCGAGTGGAATGGCGAATGCGAATCTCACCTGGGCTGCGAGCGGGAGGGACGGGGCCGGATGGGTCGGTGCAAGGCGGCGTGCCACAGGGGTGCGGTGGGACGGGGCGGGGACGGGCCCAGACTCCCGACGCCATGATGTTTGCTCGCGACGTCGACCCCCAGAGGTCTCGACCCATTCCCCGCCGGGACCGGCTGTTCATCCTGGGTCGCTTGTTGACGGTCGCGAGGCTCGCGGCCAGGGCCCCCAGGGGCCAAACACAGCGAACAAAAAATGGCCGCCTTGATTTTGTGTCATGCCTCGAGGGGGTCTGGGGGACGGGGCGGGGACAGGGGGCCGAGAAAGCACCTTTCGTATGTCCAGGTGTCGCGGTGCTTTCTCCGCCTCCTCCGCCTCCTCCTCCTCCTCCTCCTCCTCCTCCTCCTCCTCCTCCTCCTCCTCCTCCTCCT